AAGCGGATCGTTAAGTTTTTTCTTTTTAATCAGAATAAATTATACTAACCTGTGTATTTTATATGAGCATCAAATGAATCAAAAATATGTTTCGCAAATATGATTAACATTGAATTATTTTATGTCGAATATGATTCGTAATAATTCAAAACATTATATTCCACATGAAATCTTTAACTATTACGTCATAGTGAGTGTATTAAACAAAGTTATTTACACTGTATAATGATATTTGGTTATTTCATAAACTAATTCATTTGTATAACGTTTCTTTTTCATACCATAATTGTCATTATCTAATTAAATTATTTTGACTTTGAAAGTCTCAATACGCTTTAATTACAAAATATATATATATAGAAATGAAGTAAAATTTATATAATTTTAAGTTACTTGTTGTAAGACACAAAATCCTATCACATAATCCATGCATAGCAACTAGTAAGGGATGGAAATGGGATAATTTATTCTCTTTAATTATTGTTCAATAAAACAATACTAACTTCATTTATACGAATATTCGTCAAGATTATGACGAATAATTTGACAAAATTTGGGCGTCGAGTATAGGGAAGTCATTATATGTGAAAATTATATTTGAAATAATCTCAACGACTGAAATTTAAATCATTCCAACGTTTCGTCCAGTTAACTTGTTTGGACTTCTTCAGAGTAATAATCAAAATCGTCAAAGAAATATATAACTTTCAACAATCAATATTAACTTCATTTAAATCTAATAAGTTTTACTTTAATAGAAGTTGCATATATTTTAGTGATTCAAATCTTTTATCATTTGATAGTTATTAACTTTAATTCCAAATAAAAAAGAAATTTCTTGTTTCTTAATAAAAACAGTTTGTTTTTTCTAGGGTAATTTGTTTCAACCAGCCTATTTCACATTTCCTCAATTTCTTGTATGTGACATTATTTGAACTATTTTCGTAATATGTATGGTTAAGGTTATTTCTGTATGGAGTGGCCATAAACTGATGTGTATTAATTAATAGTCGAAATAGTATGTTTTATAAATACTTTTACCAACCGACGTTTCTTTTTCATAAATATTATTCCAAGTAAAAATGATCATAAAGTTGACACAAATCGATCTCCCTTATCCCATTATCAAAAAAAGAATACAATTATTGAAAACGTAAATTGTTATGCCTTTCTTCACTTTTACCCCCTGATATATATATATATATATATATATATACCCGAGGTTATAAGAGAATAAGTGTCAGCAGTTTTTACAACTTTTGACAATGATCACTGACAGACGTTAATAATCAACTACCCTTTTAAATGTTGGAGCAACTGTACCCTAAACATTTTTCTGATGGAAGCCTGCCAAAAAGTACAAACACTATAGATTTTAGTATCATTGCAAGATACTAAATATTCAGTTGCACATATATTTTTAAATATGAAAATATTACCAAACTTTAGTTTTTTTTCGAAAATTTATTTTATTTTATACGAAGAAAATGGTAAAAGTTGATTGTATATTCATGGAAAATGATAGCTGTCAAGTGTGATTTATTTTGACCATATTTTAGATAAAATAATTAGTTATCTCTGACAATATATAATTTACTTTGGCAAATTTGTTTTAGTTTACAGAACAGGATTTGATCAGAAGAAATTTAATGAACTAAATTATGTAAATTAATTTTCCAGGTCTTGAGCACTCTGTCATTATTTCAAACTGTTAAGATTGAATATATTCAGATCTCATCATCACTTGTTGGATAATCTTTGTGTTTATATTTATAAATCATGTATATTAGCGTGGAACCATAATGAATGACTGATCATTGCCGTATCCTTAATTTATATGTAACCGAAAAGAATTTGTAGTTTACCAAAAGTGATCGTATTTATTAATTTAAAGTTATCTTTACCTTTTTTTCCCTCTGTCTTTCATTTACAAAATTCAAAGTACGTTTAGTAAATTTGACACTTGTACAAAAATTCCTCATCTTCATTTGATCACAATAACAACTTCGTTTTAGTCAAATGTTCATCTTTTATTTGTGGTAATTATATCTAGTTATGTTATTTAAATGTCTGAAGTTTTATTATTTAGATATCAAAGCAATCGTTCTTTCTCATACCGTCATTATTATGATTATGACAACTGACATCATTATCACAATGACTTTATCATTGTTACATGGTTGATAATGCTAATTTTACTATTTGTCTGCCGTAATCATAATAGTTTACATATATTTCTTTTGGGTTTTGTACGTCACAGTTAATTCTGAATTATTTTGTTTACAAAATGAAATTTTATGAATATACAAGGTAATTATAATTGTTTTTGGTTGAGATCATGAACCGATTGATGTTAGACCACCATTGGAAACGTGAATCTCAATCAAAAACTTAAAAATCTCCACAACCCCTAAATTGATAATTACCACGTGGTCACTAGTGACTTGCTTCGTGAAAAAATTTTCGGTGTTCTAGTGAGAATCCGTGACCAGTGGAGTTAATCCGTGTCGCGTAGAGACAGGTATCTACTTCAGTACAATGGGAGATTGTCGTGCAATTTCGTGGATTGGTTGAGGTTAGACATTAACACCATTAGATGCCTGCTCAGTGGTGCAGTAGATTATACTGAAGGCCCTGGGTTCGAGTCCCCCGGGTGGGATCGCGGGTGCACGCTGCTGAGTGGTTCCATGTTTTCAATGGTTGTCTAACATCAATCGGTTCATGGTCTCAATCAAAAACTTAACAAACTCCACAACCCGTAAACTGATGATTATAATAACACCGTTGGATGCCGGCTCAGTGATCTAGTGGTTAAGTGCTCGTGCGCGAATCCAATAAGTCCTGGGTTCGAATCTCGCAGAGGACGAGGTCGTGGATGAGCACTGCTCAGGGGTCCCACAATAGAACGAAACGGCCATCCAGTGCTTCCAGATTTTCCATGGTGGTTTAGCTTCAACTGACTCATGATCTTAACCATTGAAATTATAATTTTTTTTTCACTTTTAAACTAAATGGCTTTATAGATGTTAAGCAGAAAATTACATTCGGGAAAAACTTCATTTGTTTCTATATTTCAGTGTGTAAGTAGAAGATTCAATCGGTACTAAATGAAATGAACTCAATATATCATACAATCCTTATTATTCTTAGTTTAATGAATGAAGAAGTAATGGAAACAGACGAAATTCAAACGAAGCATTGATTAGGTGATAATAATCAATAAAAATCAAATGGATATGCTGGTAAGGGGGGAGAAGGTTAAAAACATATTTCAACGTATTATAGAGTACATTTTGAGATCAAGTATTTATGACAAAATATTAAATCGAAACCCATATTTACCGGGAGGTTCACTTGTTGAATTAGAATATGCAGATGACATAGTTTTATTTGGTGAAGAAGCTGACAAAATGCAGAGTCTTCTGACCACTCTAAGCAACAATGCAAGCATGTTCGGGATGCGATTCTCTCCCTCGAAATGCAAAATGTTGCTTCAGGATTGGATTACATCGACACCCGAACTAGTGATAGGGGGTGAAGTAGTTGAGTGTGTCGACCGCTTCACTTATCTTGGAAGTCTGATCAGCCCTTGTGGTTTAGTGTGTGACGAAATCTCAGCACGGATACAGAAAACTCGACTAGCTTTTGCCAACTTGCGTCATTTATGGCGTAGGCGAGATATCCGTCTATCAACCAAAGGACGTGTTTACTGCGCAGCAGTTCGTCCCGTCCTATTTTATGGCAGTTAAACATGGCCGGTAAGAGTACAGGATATTCATAGGCTACTAGTATTCGATCATAGGTGTCTTCGAAACATTGCTCGTATATCCTGGGACTATCGAGTAAGTAATGCAGTTGTTAGGAAACTGGTACTAGGTAAGGATGGCAAATCAATTGATGACGTAATGAAACTTCATCAGTTGAGGAGGCTTGGACACGTGTTATGTATGCCCAACGACCGACTGCCTCGACGTGCTATGTTCAGTGGTATAGGAGTAGGTTGGAAGAAAGCTAGGGGCGGCCAAAACAAAACATGGCACAAGTTCATGAAGTCACTGACAAGTGGACTGAGTCATGTTGGTAGGTGTAGACTACCTGGTTGGGGACCGCGAGATGATAGCAACCGATGGTTAGAGACCCTGAATGACATGGCTCAAAATGGTTTGCAATGGCGCAGGTGAATACACTCTCTGTGTTCTCCCAAATTCTAATCTTTTGAATTCTTCATGTCCCTTTTTTCCTCTTTCCAAATTTATTTCACTGGATTATACTCTTTAAATAACATCTCCAAACCCTAATCTTCCCGATTACTGCTTATACTCTTATTACCTCTACCACTACGGGATTTGAATCGACAACTGTATCTGTGTGCTAATGTGGTGTGGCAACTCGAACTGATGTACGTACGTACGAAGTTCTACGTTGTTACTGTCTGACTGACTGTATCACTATGTAATACTTCGTATTATTTATTATTTAAGACCACTGGTAGACAAAAGAGAAACAGAAAATGAATGTTTTCAATGGTTCTCTAATTGTGAATAAAGTAATCTTTAGATAAACAATAGTTTTTTTTGTGTGTGTTTGCTCCTAAGAATAATAAATTATAAACAGTAAATTGAAGTATTGTATATGTAGTGAATAGGTTGGAAGTTTATATATTTATTCTCTCATTCATAAAGACGAAATAAAGATATATCATGTCTGTGAAGACATATTTTTCATTATTAAAGATTACATGTTTCATTGGTTATACTTAAATAATGATTTGTTAAGAACCTGAAAATAATGAATACAATGCATTAATATATACAACTATAATTGGTATATTATACAGGTAGTTGATTAAATAGGACAGCATGTGGGACACTGTACTTCTAATCTTTTGGACTTGTTTTCATATTCCAAAATAATTTGTAAAATGTACTTGAATAAATAAATAGCTGTCAATATATATTCATCATTGAAATAATAACAATACCGGACAGACTTAAACTAACCTGTTATTAAGTATACTTCACCTAGCATTGGACCAGTTTGAAATCGATCACAATTATATACGATTTGTCGAACAAGAGTTGGTTGCATATAATGTTTATTATCCTATAAAATTAAAATAAAAAATAAGTTGAGTGGCTTTCATCATAAAAAATGGGATACATTTTATTTATAAAACATAATAATATAGAAATTCAGAAATAATAAAGATAGATTTTAAAGTGGGCTTATATTAAGAGCTTTCTATATAGTCTACTTGAGGATTTTGATTCTGTAGTCTAGGAAATGATTCTTAAAGTCTTGAATGTTGCTACTGATATGCGAATGTTTTAAGAAAACTAGATTATAAATATAAGTGGAAGACTGATATTAGGTGGGTGAAATGTACACAAATAATGAATTTTTCTTGTCAGCTTAAAATTTGTCTAAACAATAAATCATTACTTAATTCATATCTAATAGATCTTTCATTTTAGGAATCATTGAATCTGAAGTAACATGCAGTTTGTTTTCTTAAACAACATAATGAACAACCTACACACCTTTAGAAAATGTGAAAGCCTCTTATTTTTACTAATGAATAATTAACGTGATCCAAAACGTTTGATATCAGTATTACTTCGAACAAAAAAATGCTTGCTAACTAGATTATTATTAGTAGAACAATAATGAATTCCATATTAAGGTGGTCGAATGTATTAACACAATGTGATAAATACCAACAGTAGATGAACACTTAGAGAATAAACTGTTTTATTTTTTCAGCTTCATCAAAATCTAACCTACGTACAGTTTATTATGTTGAATTTGTTTGCGAAATTTTGGGTAACTTATCCAACGTTACTTAATTAACAAAACTATTAAAAAAAACGATTTCCAAAAGGATGAGTTTAATTAGTTCATTTTCAGTAGCCTTCTTGTCTTTAAGCAATTTACTCTAAGGTAAAATAGCGGTAGTTTTGACTGAGAAATTACAAATACAAAGCTAATACTGTGGTCAATGAATTGAACACTATTGATTTCAGTAGTTTCTTGCTCTGATTTCATTTATCACATGTGATGATTGTAAGAAACGTGTAAAACAGATTACATTTATAGTAATATATATTTTTTTATTATATCTCAATGAACAGCAACACAATTTTTCTGCTCATTGGAATATAAAAATATATTTTAATAGTTGAATTCATGAGTAGATGTAAGCTAGACCATAAGTGAAGACCTGGAAGCACTGGACGGCTGTTTTGTCCTATTATGAGACTCTTCAACAGTGCGCATTCACCGATATTTATTAACCTTCTACTCAATACTCAATTTATTTCAACTATTAAGTCTAATTTTAGTATTTATATATATGGATCACGTTTACATATGTTAATTATAGTATTCAAAATATCTTCGAACCATTAAGAAGAATTATGTTTATATATCTTCTAGACTATAAAATCGAAATGCTCAAACGCTGAGGTAGACTATATGATGAGCTCTTAATATAAGCCCACTTGAAAAGCTATATTTGTGATTTATCTTTCTTTAGAAAATATATTCCAAAGATCTTACATCATACTAATTGATATTTTGAACTTTGAATCTTGGAAATGTTTGTACTTTACATTTTATCACCACTCATTTGCTTTCTATTTTTTAAGATGAAATAATTACGATACATAAGTATTCAATGACAAATTAGTATAACAGTTGTTGAATGAGTGATCATTTCAAGAATAGACAAAACAACTAGGTTTGATAAATCTCACATAAAATCAAGTCGATTATTTATTTGCGAGTAAATTTTTCTAATGATTATAACAAATTAGTCAGTTTTAATTTCATACAATATTCTTTTCATTTAACGTTAAAACGGAAGATTATGCTCTATAACAGATCTTAGGTAATCATACATTCTATTAATAGAAATTTACATAGTGTTTGTTTCTTGTCCCATTACTTTATACTAGACTAAATTTGAACAGTCAACTCTGTTAATAAAGTCAAAACAAACCAATCCACGTAACAAAGTGTCTAATCTGTTTTAAGACTGAAAAATAAACTTATATGAGAGTTCTGGTTAACAAACTATGATATATGGGACAATGTAATCGGTGACTGGCTAAGGTGCAAATTTAGAGATATCCGGCTGAACCAAATATAAAGGCCTGCCTTATATATAAAACTGATTCCATGTTTTGTGTTTCAAGTTAGCTTGTTGACAGCTTAATATTCTGTTGTCTTGGTTTTTTTATAGATCTCCATTTTGGGTTGGATAAATGAGTCAAGTGTGTCTCGGGGATTTATTGGGTCTATTATTCTAGTCCTCAGTCTAATGTTTATTCCTACTTATCTAATCATCTGTTATTATGTATCAGATATGTGATTTATAATCGATAGATGTGCTTAATGTTGCTCTGTGGAGAAATATTTAAGATAACAAAACTACTTTATTTCAATATAGTTTGATTGTGTGTTTTAAGTGACATTTCAGTCTTAAACTCAGATTAGCCTAGCAAACATTTTAATCTTAAATTCTATGTGAATTACACTGTAATATCAAAGTTTTCAAATACATTTGGTTTCATCAAAATATTTTGTAGAAAGAAAAAGGAAGAAAGAAGAAAAAAAAACGTTCTAATTATCATTAGTTTTCTCAGTTCCACTATGTTAGTCACTATATGTATTGAAAATATATAAAATGAATAGCTTTTTAATTACAATTATGCAATCAATATTTTTATTACACTTTATATTATAATTATGTGTTAAGACACAAATACATTTTGATTTTACTAATGATGGTCTACTATATAAAAATTATGATTTTGTTAAATTTCACACCGATAATAATTAGTTTAAAGAGACTCGGTCTATAATTTTGTTACATATTAAATAAATATCTTGAAGTAGCATGAATGGTATATTAGTTTTCGTTGTCACCTGTTATGTCCCGACAAGAATAATGAATGGTAACTTTTGGAATCTACTAATGGACCAATACTTAACGTATATTTCTATTGTATAATTATTAAGTAACTGAACTATGTATATTCATATTACTCTTATTATAAGCTTTATTTTGACCCATAAACTATTATTATACGTTTTACCATTCTTGAGTTATTTCCAGTATATTAATTACTACCTCCCTCATTCACAGCCACATCCGGCTAATTCCTGTACAAATGTTGTTTCATATTTTATTGGTACGTTGTGGTCTGTTTGATTGGTATATAAACACAGTATGTTTGAAATATAATGATTCATATTGCAGAGGCTGAGACTGGTGTTCTGGACTTAACTGGCTGGGCTATGCGGTAAGCAGGATTAATCAGGACTCTAGGCTGCTCGCAAATATTTTACGCGTCCTTCGTCCGATCGATAATTCTCTGCTTCTGATTAGCGGCTTTGGGCTATAACATCACCTCCAAACTTAGCATTCACGAATTCAAAATTTACTGTTTAATTTTAAATATTTTGAAAAAATTATGTATCAAGGTATTCGCTGTAATGTTTTGGAATTATTATTAGTAGAAACTAGGCGATGGATTTTATCGCATTTCTAATTTATTAGGCTAGAAGGTCTTTGTTTCTGTTATTTACCATTTACACCCAAATTCTTGAGAGAAATGGGCATGGAAACTAATTTTAGACTAATCAAATATTGAACTGGAAACAAGATTAGATATTTTTGAGGTATTAATTCAAAAGATGTTTCACGGTGATAGATGCTAATGAACTAAAGTAATATGTAATACATTTCGAACAACAAATATAGAACTTCGGTAGGATAAAAGTATGTCAATATTAACTAATATCCAATCATATCTGCCTTTTAGATACATAGCCGTACTGTTGTTTGAATGTGGCTAACGGTGTAATCAAGAAAGTACCTGTCGTCTCATTCTACACTCATCGGATGGATATATAATAGTTTAAAGGTTCAATATAAGCATTAACATTGAGAAGCACACATACTGTAAATTGACGAGTTGAAAACAGAAAGAAACTTGCTTCCTGAACTTCACTACCAGACATATTCTAGGTCTTATAAACATCCAGCCTATTAATGTTTCTTTTTCTTAATAATTTTGATAAATCATACAGTTATTTACAAAACATTTATATCTACATAAATTTGAATGTTGCTATATAAGACACTTATTTTTAATCTGATATCCCAATCACATTAGTCTACGAATTAAAAAGCACTAGTTACATTTACTCGTAGACTAATACAGATTATTTATTTCTGTATATCGGTCTAATCAAAGACATTAGTAGCTAACAGATGGTTTTTTATTATTCTTATGAACAAAGATTTATTCAACTTAGCGTTAAAATTAACACGATAAAAAGTAGTTATTAAAAAAAATTTAGTTCAAAGAACATCGAATGGTGATAGAAAGACAATAAACAGTATTCTCTTAAGACTTGGTTCAGACAAAAGTTACGTAGGGCTGACGTAATAAAGACTAGTTAAATCTGGCTTTCGTTTAATCGTAAATTAATCTTCTATTTATTTGTGTTCGGACCTCCTCGTTGTTGATGTTAAGGTTTGAATTTTTTATCAGGTCTCATGTGGATTGTGTTTATTTTGAATGAACATCTGGATATCAATAAATCATAAGCTATTAAATAAATATGGACTCTTGTTTAATCTTAATCGCGACTCGTCAGAAGGTTCTGTCCGCACTCGAGGTTAATGTTCACACTAATTCTAAAACCTAGTATGTTTCATTGTAAATACTCAATACGTTATACATTAGGCTATGCCCTATTCATGTTTTACTTAAAAACATGACCAAATGATATTATCGAGATAATTATATTCCATAAGAGATTGATCGAAAGTCAATCCCTAATATTAGCAGTGAGAAGATTTAAACACTTGCTAATTGATAGAAAGTTCATATCTGTTGCACTAGCCAGGGCGTATCTGGATTCAGAAGCTTAATTTATAACTCATCGACCATTTGAAACAAACATTATTATGTTCATGTCTGGAAGTGAACATGTAAATTAGAGTGCAATTACATCCTGTTGACAAGTCATAAATAGGATGAAACATTTCGCCTGGGCTCGAATGCTAGTCAAAGGTAAGGAAAGCTAAAGCGAAATTACACTGTGATCTAGCAGAAGGTCAAATGCAATTTGTGTGAAAACAGGTACAAGCTTGAATCAGCATAGACAGTTATCATGCAAACCAATATTTTAATATTTAATTTAGGGATCTAAATATCGCCCTTAAAGGACCACGACAACAATTATTTAATAATTTCAATGGTTAAGATCATGAGTCAGTTGAAGCTAAACCACCATGGAAAATCTGGAAGCACTGGATGGCCGTTTCGTTCTATTGTGGGACCCCTGAGCAGTGCTCATCCATGACCTCGTCCTCTGCGAGATTCGAACCCAGGACTTATTGGATTCGCGCACGAGCACTTAACCTCTAGATCACTGAGCCGGCAACCAACGATGGTAATGTCTAACTTCAACTAATCCACAAAATCGAGCGACACATCCACCATTGTCCTCAGTGAGTTACTATCTCACAACTCAGGAGTCCCACAATAGGACGAAACGGCCGTCTAGCGCTTCCAGGACCACTGAAATTATTTAATGATCTGAAATTAAAATGCTGACCTTTTGTAAGATGTATTTTATTCACTAAATTAGAAGAAAAAACTACTACGGGTTAACGAAACTTATTAAAAACACATGTTCAGTGTCTGTTAGAGCATCCCAATCAAAATTCAATTAAGAATGTAATTAAATATACTCAAAAGAATCATAGGCTTTTTTATTGTTAATGGCTTTTCCAATATTATGTTTTATTACAATATAGAATTCTCAGCACAAGATATTTCAACAAGTTTCTTTTACAAAAAACAAGAACAAAAACAAAAAAGAAAGTTGAAAAAGGTCACAAAAAAATCTATAAAAAAAAACTGTACGACATCCCAAATAATAGACATGTTAAGAATGCAGGTTATTGAATAGGTTAACTCTAACAGCTTGTTCGCCACAGAGTATATTTGCTAGGTAAGGTATTATAGAAATTTTATACTTTTACTTGCGTGCTTGGATTTTAATATAATTTCGTCTTGTTCTACCAGAAGATATACAAGGAGAAAGATAAGAGTGAAGGGGATGGCTAGTATCTGATAAAATTACACCTGCCAGGAGTTTGCAGGACTTTAGATGTATATCCACAACCATATTAACTATGACCTTGAAAGATTCACCATACACCTTGCTAACTATCTTCAGCACTCTCCGCAATACAGCAAAGTCTTATCTCGAAAGCGCGGGAAAGAATAATGGAGAACAGTGAAGAATAATAGGTAATATGAAAGAATTGACAAATTGTAAGAGTAAATGACGAGTAGTCCCAAGACCATACAATCTCTTTATGTAGTGAGTCAGACGGAAAACTTTCTTCGATAACAGTATAACGTGAGAAGACCAGGAGAGATCAGGGGAAAAGGTAACACCAAGATGACTGAACTTCGACATTGTGTTTATCGAGGAGTCTCCAATGGCACAAGCATTATGGGATGTCAAAGTGGTGTTTAGATGCCGTTCATGTTTCATGCTAAAGTTAACAGCTTGACATTTAAATGGATCAAGTATGAGACCATTAACAACAGACCAACAATCAATACGACACAAAAATCATTCATTTCATTCGAGTTTATCAAAGTAATTCAATGTAGTTAGTATCTGCGAAAGAACTTAAACTATCCGACCGTCAACTAACGATATTTATATGGGTTTGTGACTGAAATAAGCGCAAAAATTACTATGATAAAGGAATCGTCAACCAAGCATAGCAGCTGTTTAGAATGTGTAGGGAATTATTGTTGATATATATATATATATATATCTCCCGAACTATTTAAATAGACAGTGTTTTCAATCTACTTCTATCAACGGTTGTATTTCAGGATAAACTCAAGTATACTAAACTAATTTTTTGAGATATGAATCATCCTGAAAAGTGATTTGCATAATAATTACATGAAAATTTATTGAGGAATTTTTGGATTTCCTTCAAAATCCTACTTTCTACAGTCGATTTTTTGGGGGCATCTTTATCAATCGGGAACATGCTATAATCAAGTAGGTGAAAACGTAATCAGGATATTCATTTTTGTAATGTACAAGGTGAGTGGAATTTTTTAAAAGTGAAAATATCACCATGTGATTCACTTGAATATGACGCATAGCTTAAGTTTCAAGCGTTTTATTTAAATTAAGGTAATAACAAACTGTAACACTATCCAAGTATAGAATATCATGACAGTAAATATCTCATACACTCAATTAACTCACCTTGTATACTTGATAGATATAAGCTAAGTAGTGGCGTTGACCATTAGGTTCCACGGATTCTTTGTAAATATAAACACGTAAAACTGAAATATAAATATAAACAACGGTAATCAGTGACTAACTCTAGATAGATTCAAAATCATGCCATATATACTTTCAGAAACCGTAGAATAATCTCATTTGTAGGCAATCAAAAGTTACAATTTAACAAAGACTAATATTTAAACATAGAATATTCTTTTCGATAAATTCTATTCAAGTTCTACAATTAATATATATATACAAATTAATAATCCGAAAAATGAACAGGTCAAGGACAAAGTATATCGTTTAAACCATGAAAGTTTAGGATTGTCAAACAAAATGGAATAAAATTGTTTACATTGATATGACTTACATAGAAAGTTGATTTGAATCAGATTATATGTTAAGTGAAAATTTAAGATCCATAATCAGAATAAATATGAGTCAGATAGGATGTGGGACACTGGGAGAGCCTTCCAAATTGCTGCACAAATGAGAAAATACAACCTAGAGGTGCTTGGGATCAGTGAAACACATTGGACACAAGTTGGACAACAACGACTAGCTTCAGTGGAGCTTCTGTTATACTCCGGCCATGAAGAAGAAAATGCTGCACATACACAAGAAGTTGCATTGATACTGTCCAAACAAGCACAAAATGCACTTATAGGATGGGAATCTCATGGACCAAGGATCATCAAAGCCTCCTTCAAAACAAAGAAAGAGGGCATTTCAATGAACATCATCCAATGCTATGCGCCTACCAACGATTACAATGAAGACGCTAAAGATCAATTCTACAATAGGCTGCAGTCAATCATCGAGAAGTGTCCAACAAAGGACCTGACCATTCTGATGGGAGATTTCAACGCCAAGGTTGGAACGGACAACACTGGATATGAAGACATCATGGGACGACACGGACTGGGAGAAAGAAACGAAAATGGTGAGAGATTTGCAAATCTATGTGCCTTCAATAAACTGGTCATAGGCGGCACCATATTCCCACATAAACGCATACACAAAACCACATGGACTTCACCGGATCACTCTACACAAAACCAAATCGACCATATTTGCATCAACAAAACGTTCAGGAGGACTATAGAGGACGTGAGAACCAAGAGAGGAGCTGATATAGCATCAGATCATCACTTGCTGGTCGCCAAGATGAAATTGAAACTCAAGAAGCACTGGAAAATGGGGCAGACAGTATCACAAAAGTTCAGTACGGCCTTTCTTCAGGATACTAACAAACTCAACAAATTCAAGATAGTCCTCAGCAATAAGTTCCAGGCCTTTCATGATCTACTCAATGGAGAAGGAACTACTGTGGAGAGCAACTGAAAGGGGATCAAAGAGGCAATCACTTCAACATGTCATGAGGTCCTGGGTCACAAGAAGCATCATCATAAGGAATGGATCACTGTTGATACAGTGAGCAAGATTCAAGAACGGAGGAACAAGAAGGCAGCAATCAATACCAGTCGAACAAGAGCAGAAAAAGCCAAGGCACAAGCTGAATACACAGAAGTAAACAAACAAGTGGAGAGGAGCATCAGAACCGATAAACGTAAATATGTGGAAGATCTAGCAATGATGGCGGAAAAGGCTGCAAGAGAAGGAAACATGAGACAACTGTATGACATGACAAAGAAACTCTCTGGAAATCGCCGCAAACCAGAACGACCAGTGAAAAGCAAGGAAGGCGAGGTAATCATCAACATTGAAGAGCAACAAAACAGGTGGGTAGAACACTTCAAAGAACTCTTGAATCGACCAGCTCCACTGAACCCACCCAACATCGAAGCAGCACCCACGGACCTCCCAATCAACGTTGGCCCACCAACAATTGAAGAAATCATCATGGCCATCAGACAAATCAAGAGTGGCAAAGCAGCAGGACCGGACAACATCCCAGCAGAGGCACTGAAACTAGATGTAGCAGTAACTGCAAAGATACTCCACATTCTCATCAGCAAGATTTGGAATGAAGAACAAGTACCAACAGACTGGAAAGGACACCTGATCTAGATACCAAAGGAGGGCGATGTCAGCAACTGTGATAACTACAGGGGCAACACTCTTCTCTCAATACCGGGAAAAGCCTTCGACAGTGTATTGTTAAACAGAATGAAGGACTGAGTAGACGCCCAACTTCGTGACCAACAGGCAGGATTCCATAAGGATAGATCGTGTACAGACCAAATCGCAACTCTACGGATCATTGTGGAACAATCAATTGAACGGAATTCATCACTCTACATCAACTTCATTGGCTACGAGAAAGCATTTGATAGCGTGAATAGGACAGCACTATGGAAGCTTCTTCGACACTACGGCCAGCCTCGGAAGATAGTCAATATCATAGAGAATTCCTATGATGGACTACACTACAAAATCGTGCATGGAAGACAGTTGACAAACTTGTTCGAAGTAAAGACCGGTGTCAGGCAAGGTTGCTTATTCTCACCCTTTCTATTTCTCCTGATCGTGATCGAATGGATTTTGAAGACAACAACATCTGAAGGAAAGCACGGGATACAGTGGACGGCTAGAATGCAGTTGGACGATCTAGACTTCTCAGATGATCTGGCCCTTCTATCGCAAACGCAACAACAAATGCAGGAGAAAACGACCAGTTAGGCAGCAGCCTTAGCAGCAGTAGGTCTCAATATAAACAAAGGGAAAAGCAGGATTCTCCGATACAAAACAGAATGCACCAATCCAATCACAATTGACGGAGGAGACTTGGAAGATGTAAAAACCTTTACGTATTTGGGCAGCACCACTGATAAACACTGTGGATCTGATGCATATGTGAAGGCGCGAATCGGCGAAGCAAGAGCAGCATATTGACAACTGAGGAGCATCTGGAACTCGAAGCAACTGTCAACCAACACTAAGGTCAGGATTTTCAACACAAATGTCAAGACAGTTCTACTGTATGGGGCAGAAACCTGGAGAACTACGAAAGCCATCATCCAGAAAATACAGGTGTTTATTAACAATTGTCTAAGCAAAATACTTCGGATCCGTTGGTCGGAAACTATTAGCAACAACGTACTGTGGGAGAGAACAAACCAGATCCCAGTGGAGGAAGAAATCAGGAAGAAGCGCTGGAAGTGGATAGGACACACGTGGAGGAAAGCACCCAACTGCGTCACAAGACAAGCCCTCACATGGAATCCTCAAGGCCAAAGGAGGAGGAGAGGAAGACCAAAGAACACATTACGCCGGGAAACAGAGATAGACATGAGAAAAATGAACAAGAATTAGATGGAATTAGAAAAGAAGGCCCATGATAGAGTGGGTTGGAGAATGCTGGTCGGTGGCCCATGTTCCATTAAGAGTAACAGGCGTAAGCAAGTAAGTAAGATAGGATGAGAGAAATAATAGTGCAATTACAATTCCATCAAATATTTAGTGGAAGAATATGGTAAGACATAATAAGGTGTGATGAATGAGAAGTTAATGAATCATGTATTGAGAAGATTAGTAATTTGAATATATAATTGTAGAACCTAAACAGAATTTATCGTAAAGTATATTCTTCGTTCAAATATTAGTCTTTTAATATGATGGTGATCTTTAAACAATTTAATAACTTCAGTCTTAGGTCTATTACATAATAGTAAACTCGGTAATACTCATTTTGTTTTGACTTTCAAACCGAACAGTGACTAAAATATTTTATTTTCTCATTTCTAATTCTATAAGTTAATTAAAAACTGTTAGGACCCAAGTTATATCCAGTAGATTAATTATTACTTGATATGATGGAAAGAAAAGTCAATTTTCGATTGAATTACTCATTATGAGTTTTATTCAATATTACATCCATTTTGATTCAACATTAGAATCATTCAATGTAGTATTTGATTATTTTCCCAGTATAATAATTTCTTTTGTATAATATACGATATTCTTGCATTCACTTGACATAAACTATGCTCAATAAGTGATTTGTTATAACTGAGTATGTGATCTAATCCTAATTATTAATCAAAATGGGTGTACAATCAATATTTGAACCAGCGTATTTTACATTATATTCGATTCGTCTTTGTCATAGTGTTTGGGCTAATAAATCTTCACTTATACCAGTCTTTGTGTTCTTACTTTCGCATCGTGGGAATTGCAGTGGTCCCTCGTTTCGAGTATAAGTGATCAGCGCTTTTTTTTCGGCACAACAATTGCAACGACCGAATATAACAAACACTTTGTAACTAGACTAGAATCATTAAATACTCTACAGTTTATTTTGAATTGTCCTTAAGTAGATGTTTCATTTAAAAAACATTTGACAGATTCCGATAGGTTTGATATTGATAATAATAAAACTATCGACTGGTTGATCAATATTAAGATTACCATAACTTAATTAGATTTTCTTCTCTTCCAGGAATCAAATGTATTGTATAAGCATTAAAATCACTGCAATCCTGACCATTATCAATGACCATTAGTTTAAACTGTACACAAAAATAATATGAAACATCAAGCTGAAATTAAATAAATAAACAGCTTGATGTACGTTTCGTAGTAAAGATATTATATTTATGGTTTTGAGAATTACCCAATGTTGTCATTGTACCATATTCTCAGTGTCTCTATGCTTCATAAACACTGTGTTTTGTTATCACTAATTATTCACTCTGAAAACGATTATTACTTCATATTAATAGCAGTTGTCTTTAAAATATTTAATCTAAATAATTCACTAATTATGCCGTTCCTATCATCCTGTAAATGCCGGTAAATTGGCCAGTATATTGATTGTATTTATATACTTATAAAATCTACTCTGTTATTAAAGATCAGAATAATCTTGGTCACAAAGTAAAATTACCTAGAGAGCTTTTTTAAAACGAAGGGAGGGGGGCAAACAAATCTTAGTTTGATTTCAGACACTCACAAAGGATCATGCTGAATAAAGCCATTAATAATGATGCTCATAACTAATAATAAGGAATAAAACATAAATGAATGGTCTCCATATTCAGTCAGTTCGTAAACTTAAATCAAAACTGCACAATTCAGATAATCATAAAAATCC